ATCATGAACCAATACTAGCAGCTAACACAAGACCACAAAATCAAAAGAGAAGACACGAGGATGAAGCAACTCAAAAAGATAAAAAGAGAAAAGGTGTGCAAACCGAAGTAGCGTCAAGGGGAATAAGCATTCACGTGCAAGCCTTTCGCCTATGCTCAACCCAGTCCTCAATATGTCCTGCCACAAAAAACAACAAAAACTCCAAACTCCAATTATTAAAAGACAAAACAAAAAACATAAAGGAAAATATCTAGGAAAGCAATAAATAACACTTGGGTTGCCTCCCAAGAAGCGCTTGTTTAACGTCATTAGCTTGACGAAACCTGTTAGGACCTCAGCCAGGGTCCAAAAAGAAGTGTCGATCATGCCACACCTTCGTATACTCTAGCAGTGGTAGCATGGGCAGTGTGGCAAGAAAGAAGACACGGTGGATTTGGGTGGCTATGTTCTTGAAGAAGTGAGTGTGAGCACGAACAATCACCAAGTACTGACGAAGAGCTTTATTCACCAACTCTCTATAGTCGACCTCGTGAAATATGAAATATTCGTAAGGCATGTCGAGCTATATCCTTCTTTATTAGTAGCACAGGGTGGTGGCTCGGAATGTGAACCCTCCAACTCGATCGTGGGAGGGAATCTTGAGAAAATGTAAATTCAGGGACATCTCGATCAGGCTCAAGAATCTCCTCCACTAAAGTGTCACTCTCGATATGTGGAGCCACAACTTCTTCATCGTCAAGCTCGCTCATACGCATCGACTTACATGTTCGGGAACCATGCGTAGGATGTGGATAATGGATAGGGGCCTCATTAGCTTGTGATTCGATAAGGTCGATGCGTGTTGTTAGGCTCTCCACTTGTGCGCTCAACCGAGCACATCCGAGCTCAATCTCTTCATCCCGATTAGCTTGGGCCATCACCCGAGCAAGGATAAGATCAAGTTTAGCATTGTATCCCGAAGAGTCATCCTCGAGCTCAGCGAAAGGCATGGGCTCCGGATGTGGGTCCACAACCATGGGCTTGTCGGCTTGTTACTCGATAGAGTCGATGCGCCTTGCTAGACTTTCCAATTGCTCGCTCAAACGGGCACATCTGAGCTCCACCTCCTCTTCTCGGTTTTCTTGGGCCATCATCCGTTTGAGGATTAGATCAAGTTTCTCATTGAATGCGGCCTCTTCTTCTCGAGCTGCTATAAAGGTAAGAATCCAGTCGAGCTTCTCATTATGCTCTGAGGATCGCTCCTGAAATTCATAGATCTGCTCAACCAGTGCCAAATTCCATTGTTGCTCGTAAGAGTACGAAGATGGTTGGTTATAGTGCTCGGAGTGATAGCTCGGCCCGTTATTCCAAGATTGAATGTGCGGGAAGGGGAACACACGGTTTGGGTACATTGCGCTTCCTCAGTCAAATCTCTGCACACGAGAATCAAAACAACCATGCGTAGCCATGAAAAGAAAGACAAGAGCAAAAACAAAGAGAAAAACAAAGATGCAGAGAAAGAACTAAAACACGAATAAAACACAAAATAAAGAGAAACACAGAAAATAAAATTAACACCAAAACGAAATATCCTACTTGCCTTCCCCGGCAACGGCGCCAATTTTGTTATAGCAAAATATATTTTTACCGAGTACCGAATCGAATGATTCATTCCCCGGGTCGATCTCTCGAGGAAGGCGGTTTGGAATTTAGCTTTGGTATCGATCACACACAAAAAGAAAATAAATCCTAAACACTCTAATAAGATTGGGGGTTAAATGAATTATTAACTAAGAAATAATATAGAACATGACTCTACCTAAAAATATAAACAACACAAAGATAAAGAAGCTAAGGAGTCGGGGATGATGATTTTCTAACCAATGGAAATATCAAGCTAAGATCATTCGGTTAAATGATTCGAACAACCTAACGTCTAGATATAGTCCTCAATAGTTCTTCGTAACAAGAGGATAACATAGACGGTAAATCAAACAAATTACATAACACATAGACAATACGTTTCCGAACAAGTCTATTTCATGCGAGCCTAGATCGATCAACTCCTCCCCTTTCGGTTCTAGAGTTGATTAAATTATCCTAGACAATTGTTGATCTACTAGTTCGCTCGATTTAAACACATCACACAAGAACGAATCATATTCAATTGGAATCAATTGAAAATCGAAGTGTCACTCTTTGACAATATTTAACATTCAATGCACGAGAATTATAAACCCTAGATAAGCACAACTCGCATAAATTGAGCGATCAACAGGCATGATAATCACAATTAAATTCTAACATCATCATCATCCCCTATCCCTAGCGAAATGAATTAGCTACTCATATGGAATTCAAAATCAAAAATCTCAACAATCAAAGCCATCATATTAATGGATTAGATGAAAAGAGAAACTTACAATTAATAGAAATCCGATATTCGAATCTAATGACAAAGCTAAATACGAAAAATAAAGAGAGAATTGAGCAAAAAGAATGGTCAAAATCCACGTTTTAGAGTAAGATAAAGGGGAAAAACAAGTTTGGAGATTGTTCCCACGAGTCTAAGGATCGTTTTTTCTTATATAGTGCTCGAAAAACGGAACCAAAACGAGTAAAAATGGAGAAAAATAAAAACAAGGTCGACCTAGTCGTGAGTCGGCAGGGTCACAGGACAGGGGTGTTTCTGTTTTTTTTGGCAAGGCGCGACACGCTCGGTCGCGAGTCGCGCGCACTGGGCACTGGGCGTGGGGTACATCGCGGGTCGCAGGTCCCGACTCGGGCTGCACTGCGCCACTTTACATTTCGGGCTCGTTTGAGCTCGTCCGAACTCGGAATTGAGTTCCGTTTTTTCCTACGCGTAGCTAACGAACCCATATATCCAATTATGCTCTTGAAACCAATTTTTACTGAAGAGAAAATTCACCCAAAGCTCCCTACCTACACACCAAAGACGACAAAACATAAAAAAAATATCGGAAAAACAAACGAAAAACACCTAAAGACTCCAAATGAAGGAAAATACATAATAAAACACGAAATTGACTAAAAACTAAAGAAAGAAAGATAAAATAAACACAAATAATGCAACAAAAATGGGACAAACAACTAGGGACACACGCACGGCTCGAGCTTCTCCTTGGCACATGATAAGTCCATTGTCATTTCCAAGGCATATTGGACTTGATAATAATTCTAAAGGCGCTAGGGTTCATTAGCCGAAACCTCGGTTTTGTGCGAACGTGCGACTAGGCACTCGTCTAGGGCTCGACTAGGGCTTAACGCACGATCTCGAAATATCGGCATGAACGAACGATATAACTTGAACATACTAACATATATGAATAATAATCAAGCAATTAATCACATAATATCACATAAAAGCACATAATTATTCATGTAATAACTCTTGGAAATACTGAATCGAACAACTCTAGGGTTTGAACATTGTCGAATTCACTTTAAAGTCGAGCAAGTGAATCGGTTTCATTTTATTAACTGATCGGGGCGTTACAACCTATCTTTCTTAAAATACTTCCATCCTCGGAAATAGAAAGCTAAGGTACAAGGTCAAAACTCCTGCTACAAACTACAAACAGAAAAGTACAAAGTAAAAGTACAACTGTACAATTCAAAACTCGAAATCGGGGTATCGAGCTTGAAACTCAGCCTCTCTCTCCCAAGTGGCTTCGTCCTCGCCATGTCGGCTCCAACGTACTTTGACCTCCTTAATATAATTTCAAAACGTGCTGAGCCTAAATGGTTGGCTCTCACGCTTCGGAAGCTTACTTAGCAACATTACATGCTTCGGCTTTTGGTTCGAATAAAAATTAATACAATTATATTCTAAAATAAGTACATAGAATTCTTATCTCCTCCAACTCTATATGCCGTTTAAATGCCAAATCATTCATTCTTTTTTATTGTGTTTAACATTATCCCAACTAGCTAATGGAAAACCTCCGAATGCGAAGCTCTGGGTTATGTGGAGCTCGAAACATATAATTTGGTTGGTGGATTAACTTAATAATAAATTTAATAAATATCTCAGTCCCGAAGAACAAGTTGTCATCTTTTCATCCCTCCAAACCCTGTTGATTTTCTCCAAAAATCCTCAACTCTTTTTCTCAACTCATTATTTTCATGTTTATCTTCGTTTGCTTCTTCTTTTTTCATCTTCTTCATTTTCATGGTTGACAATGTTTAAGCTCACTGATGTTATATTTTCTTCCTTTTTTTTTTTTTTTTTTTTTTTATATCGAGGTTCCAGGCTTGCGCCTGACTAGTACTCGAGGAAACAGCTCCCGGCCCCTCAGAAACTGCCTCTAGTTAAACTGCGGTAGCCACACAATGGCTCCCAGGTACCCAATACCCTCAACTACCGCGCACAAGGAGTTGATCCCCAAGTGATTGCTCATTGGCCCTCCCAGCTCCAAGTTGGCCCCACCTATCCAGCCGCAGGGTCCCACCAAAGTGATTGCTTCATGCTGGCCCCACTTATCCAGCCGCTGGTTCCCACCGAATTTCAACCTCCCACACTGCCGCTTATAGTTCTCAGTATTAATTGTTCCACCATTGTGCTCCGAGAGGCTTGAACCTTTGACCTCATGTCAAGGGTACCTCGATTTTTATTAATATTATGACATGTTGAACCACCTAATTGTTGACCTACTCACAACAAAACTTGTGATAAATAAAGACTTTCAATTACTATTGTATAAAAACCAACAATTATGCGACATAAATATATATTTAAAAATATTTAGGTATAATTATATCTTTGTTTTGTAGTTTAAGTGGTCATATGCTATATATTTGTTTAGACATGTGATTTTTATATAAGGATCGTATAATAGGGAATTAAAGTGATATGCAATTTAATATAATATGTGCGGTGAAAATTTTATTTATCACGTCGCAAGCTTCATATAAGACGAAGTGTTAAACACATGTAATTAAGAAATATCATGCTCATTATAACTCAAGATTATTATTTAATATTGAACTAATTATGTAGTTTACAAAACTTCAAATTCTAAATAAAAAATTTCGATATTTACCACATAATTGTTGACAGACTCACAACAAAACTTGTGACAAAGGAAGACTTTCAATTACTATTGTATAAAAACCAACAATTATGCGACATAAATATATATTTAAAAATATTTGGGTATAATTATATCTTTGTCTTGTAGTTTAAGAGGTCATATACTATATATTTGTTATCTATTTGGAATTTTTATATAAGGATCGATTAATAGGGAATAATAGTGATATGCAATTTAATATAATATGTGAGGTGAAAATTTTATTTATCACGTCGCAAGCCTCATATAACACGAAGTGTTAAACACATGTAATTAAGAAATATCATGCTCAATTATAACTCAAGATTAGTATTTAATATTTAACTAATTATGTAGTTTACAAAATTTCAAATTAAAAAAAATCGATATTTAGGTTTTTTAGTTTTATTATTAAATATTTCTTAATTCACCACCCGTGTAGTACACGGGTTAATAGTACTTTATTAATACTCAATCAATATTATTTAGTATCAAGTACTTTTGTAATATACAAAATTCAATTGATATTTGTTCTATAAATTAAACAATGTTGCTATAAAACCAACTAGTTGGTTTTATAGCAACATTGATAAATTATAAGTAGTGGGAAATGCTCACATGCACACGGTGGACACATGTTAATATGCCCACTGCTTATTTGGCATGCACATATTGGTGATGTTAATATGTTAAAAAAATACATTACCAATGTGTAAATGCCACGTAAGTCGGTGGGGGCATATTAACATGTATCCACCGTGGGCATGTGAACATTTCTGGTTAAGTACTTAGCTGGTGAGCGTTCATGAACAATATTAAATTAATACGTACTTTAGCAGTACCTCTTTGCTGTCCAATTGATAAGTATTATTTATTTATTTATCATTAGTATTTTTTTAACGTAAACAATTAAAATCTATATCTATATATATATAATAAGAATTAACATTTTTTAAAAATGGCAGGTCAATTCTATGGTCAAAGATACTTAGTATTAATTATTTTCTATTAATGGCAATTTTTTTAATTTTTAATTTAAAAGCACAGACAGCATCATTTGGAATTTGTTAAATTAATGACCACGTAAGTTGTTAAATTAATTTTTATTTTCTATGTTTAAATCACATAAATATTTTAGTCTTCTTATTTAAATTGCCAATGGTTTAATGGTAAAATGTTATGTAAATAGACTTAGATACATGTATCACATATCACTGCCTAAATTAATGATTTTATTATTTTTAAAACTAATAAATCTTAAGTTGAATCTGATTTATTTGTTAAAAGATATTTTGTATTCATAGTGTCATGTTCTATTGTAATTCAAAATTTCAAATTGCCGATATGAATATGAATTTGGATAGTTTAAAGAAACAAAATCCCTTATATGAAGAAATTTATTCCTTGAAAATACACAAATTCTTTAAATTGCATAATCAATCAATTGATCTTAATTTTTTGAAAATTACTATGTTTATTTTTTTTATTAATATGCATAAAGTAAAACTAATTACCTTCGGGTCTTTCCTCTCCTTAAAGTCGAGCTCAACGCGAGAGGTCATAACAGATGCTCGACTAAAAGGAGAGGTACTTTTTATTAATATTCATAAAGTAAAAATAATTAATTCATCTTTAGATATATAATTTATAATCTTAATGTACTATCATTTGGTGTAGACATTTATTATATGAATCATAAAATATTTTTATTTCATAAAATTAAATATATTAAAAAAAATAAGAAAATTTCTTTGGATCAATCAGATGATTAAATTAGGGTATTGTCCAAGTTGATTGTTTTACTTTTAGGTGATATTTAAAATAGTCAAAAAAATTGACACAACTTGATTGGTCTTAAAGTGACTAAGTTATCTATCTGTTTGATCAGACCAATTCGATTATTGAACCTAAATATAAATTTTAATATTAAAAATACTTTATTACTTGAATGTGATGTAGTCCAAACTTTAAATAATCATATTAACAATATTTTTATGACAACATGTTTAATAATTTATAAATATTTATATATCATTTTATTAATTATTTTGTGAATAAAACAATATTTTATTATAATTTTTATTAATGTACAAGAAATATAAGGTTTTCAGAGCCGGACCGTCATCGAAACGATCAAGTTATTTTATTAAATTATTTGTGCTCTGTTCAAATTTTAATTTATAAACATTTTAATATATATAACTCATCGAAAAGATCAAGTTATTTTATTAAATTATTTGTGGTCTGTTTAGATTTTAATTTATAAACATTTTTTTATATATAATACTTTTTGTAATAAATTTAAAGAAAAGGTGATACTTAAATATCTAAACAATTTATAAATTCAAATGTTTAAACTATTGATAAAGAGTTTGTAAATCTCCTTTTGATTTAAATATGTAATTTTATATAATTTTAAATGTAACCAAATTTATTTAGAAAATCGATATCGATCTTACCAGTCAAACCAACTGGTGTTGACATATTAAAAAGCTAATATTTTATTCAAGCAACTAGACTGGTTATAAATCGGTTCTCGGTCCATCCGCCTGGACTGTGTCCAACCCGATTTAATTTAACAACAATGGGTAAATCATGATTAATGTTATATATATATATATATATATTTAATTTATAATACAATCGTAATATTGTTTCCCCGTGCATCACACGGGCCACGCAGTAGTATCTTAGTAAAGAAATAATATCTCAATGCAAATGGAAGAGAGTGTACTATAATGAGAATTGAGCGACTAAAATAAATTGTATAAAATAAAAAAAAGGTAAAGTCCACTTTTCGTCCTCCATGTTTAGGGGGTATCCAGGAGTCCCTATTATGTTTTGGTGCCAATTTTAGTCCTTAAAACAAAAAAATAAGTCCCTATTATGTTTTGGTGCCCAATTTTAGTCCTTAAAACAAAAAAATGTAGTCCCTATAATAGGGAAAAATCCACTTTTAGTCCTCCATGTTTAGGGGTATCCAGACTTAATCCCTATTATGTTTTGATGCCCAATTTTAGTCCATAAAACAAAAAAATGTAGTCCATTTACCTCAATTTCTGTGAATTAACGGTCCATTTTTGCTCGACTGTAATGTTCTTTATTTTTTTAAAATTTGTTGATTAATGTCAACTTTGACCAAAGAAAAATAAAAGAAAATTTAAATGCTGAAAATATATTAATGAAAAATTAAACCAAAACAAGATATTGCACCAAATTAAATTAAAATTTTTGCTCGTCTGATTTCTATTTCCCTAGCATTCGCGCTGCGGAGCAAGCCTGGAATCACAGCTACTGCTCTTGCACCCATTTCCGGGTCATGCCATCGAAAAAAATTGCACCTATCAACCCTCTGTTTTTTAACCATTTTTTATCATATTCCAATTGAAGTTCACAGAAAGTACTTACAGGATATAGAGGACAACTCAAGAATCTTCTCTCGGGATTATCATCCTTCCAGCATGTAGTCAACTTTGCAACCAGCTCACATCTACAAAATACCACACCATTTCCATCCATTTGATCGGATTTAGTCTCTAGGCGGTCAGGTTTTTTTTTTCTACGTTTCACTGCAGTTCACCATTTCTGCCTTTTATTTTACCTTTTTTCAGCATTTAAATTTTCTTTTATTTTTCTTTGGTCAAAGTTGACATTAGTCAACAAATTTTAAAAAAAATGAAGAACATAACGGTCGAGCAAAAATTGACCGTTAATTCACATAAATTGAGGTAAAGGGACTACATTTTTTTGTTTTAAGGACTAAAATTGGGCATCAAAACATAATAGAGATTATGTCTGGATACCCCTAAACATGGAGGACTAAAAGTAGATTTTTTCCTATTATAGGGACTACATTTTTTTGTTTTAAGGACTAAAATTGGACACCAAAACATAATATGGACTCAGTTTGAATACCCCTAAACATGGAGGACAAAAAGTGAACTTTCCCCATAAAAGAACCCATCTTACATGAAAACATCTACATTTCCAAAAGTCGCCCTCTTCTCACTCCCCAATAGGCTACACCGAATGAAGCTCCCGACGGTGTCCACCGCCATCCTCAAATCTTCCACCGGCGTCCCCTTGGCCAGCCTCTTGTACAGATAGCTCTCGAACGTCATCCTCTGCACGTACTCCTTGCCGCACAGCTCCACCAGCGCCTCTCTTCCGGCGTTGCTCCCGTAGAACACCCTCTGCAGCACGTCCAGGAACTTGAACGTCCCCAAGTACTCATCGTCCCACCTCCTCAGGTACTCCCTCCTCAGATCCATCTCGCCTATCATCTTGACCCCGTTCTCCGACGCCCGAACGATCCCTTCCCCGCACATCCTCCCGCTCTTGGCTGCGAAGTATATGCCTTCGCCGGAGCACTTGGTGACATATCCAGCGGCGTCTCCGACCAGAGCCACCCTTCCCCGGACCCTGGTCGGCCGGGGGTGCTCTGGGATCGGGTGAGCTTCGACCTTGATAATCTCGCCGCCGTCAATTTTGCATCTGACTCGATTCCGGATCGCGCCCTGAAGGTGTTTGATGTTTTGCCTTAACCGGACTGTTCCCGTTCCAACCGCCACGTGGTCGCATTTGGGGAAAACCCACGCGTAGAAGTCGGGAGAGACGTCGTCCCCCACGTACATCTCCGCCAGATTCTCATAGTACTTCATTTTCTCCTCCGGAAGCTTAATCCTTTCCTGAAAAGCAATTGCGCACTTGTAGTCTCCTGCTTTTATCGACTTAGCCACCTTGCTGTTTGCTCCGTCTGCGCCTATCACAACATCTACGGCCAGGGATTTGTGAGTATTGTTAGAAATATAATGGATTACATAAGGGGATATTTCCGATACAGGGATTTCGATATTCTTGACAAGGGCTTTAATTAGGATTGCCCCACACTCTTCTGCCCGAGCCCTGAGGAAGTCATCGAGCACCTCACGGCGGACCATGGAGATGAACTCGTGGGGCTTGAGCGTTTTGCCGAAATCGACTGTGAGGTTCGAAGGTGAGATGATCTTCATCTGGGTGACCTTTCGGTCAATGAGGTGAGTAGGGATCGAGAATTCGTCGAGCATGCAAAGAGGTATAGCCCCACCACAGGGCTTGGCAGCTTCTGGGCTGCGCTCGAATAAGTATGTCTCGATGCCGCCTGAGGCAAGAGATTGGGCTGCGGAGGACCCTGCTGGGCCCCCGCCAATGACCGCGGCCCGTAATTTGGAGGTGGTGATAATGGTGGTGGGTGGTTTGGAATTTAATCTCTTCTGTGGTTTTATTAAGGTCTGGTGTTTGAAGGTTTGGGTTAGGGAATGGAGGGGGTGATGGACTGAGGTGAAGGAGTTGGCAGCCATGTGTGATGGGGATGTTGGAGTTGGGGCTTTCTGAAAGCGGATGAGTGAAGTGTGATGAGGTAAATCTCTGTTATATTGCTGGTGGACAACTCATGTGATGGTGAAGATTTTTTAATAAAATATTTGGGGTTGGTTCTTACTCATCTGAAGTAAAATAAATAAATTAAGCTTGAGTTGTTGCATACTTTAATGAACACCGAAAGTAAAGCCAACATCCAGTAGGAATCTTTGGTTTCTTCAATGAGGTTAAAAAAGTGATTGTATTTTTAAATAATAATGTAATAGCAGATCTAACCATTCTTTCAGCTTCTTTTCTAATACATGTGTTCTTGAACTAGTACGAAATCCGTGTAATGCACGAGACAATAATTATAAATTGTATGTATTAAAATAATGAAACAATATTGATTAGTATAAAATATATTTTTGAATATTGATATTATTTTATTTCATTTATTTTATGATATATAATAAATTAATATATGAGTTGTAATGTTCATTTCCCTAATTATAAAATAGTTGTCATTTTAGAGTTTATGTTTATAATTGAGGATCCTGAAAATTTAAAATATTCAAATAATATCAATAAACAATACACATATTATATTTCTCTCTCCATCTTTGTTTACGCATACCTTATTATAATATACTAGTACGTAACACGTGCGATGCACGGGCTATTTTTATTTTGGTAAAATTTATAAGTAGAAGGCTATTAATATATAAGTTATAATACGTATAGGATTTGTTAAGAAATCATAAAGTGTTCGTCAAGAAAAAAGTCGTACATTATTAAAAACCTCATTGTTTTTCTATGCAAAATCATTTAGCGCTTGGCAACTGTAGACCGATATTTTCTCCACTTGGTAATTGCGAATTGCATAAACACTTCCTTCCTCTAATTCTATGCTGATTTTTGGAATGTCAACACCACGAAATAAAATATAGTGAAAATATGTAATAATGTGACAAATCTTAGTCTAAATATATAAGATAAAGCACTTCGGATACTGTTCAATATATTAATTTTTTATTCAGCTTCATGCTGACACGTGTTGTTTTATATATCAAACTACCTATATTTCCCTTAGAATGACTAAAATAAGAAAAGTTGTTACATTGAAGTGTGGATTTTATAGTATATCTTTTTTTCAATCACTAGTGCGTGGCCCGTGCGATGCACGGGAAAACAATATTACGATTGTATTATAAATTAAATATATAAACAACATTAATCATGATTTATCCATTGTTTTAAAATTAAACTGGGTCCGATTGGATGGACCGAGAACCGATTTATAACCAGTCTAGTTCGCTTGAATAAAATATTTGCTCTCGAATCTGTCAATACCAGTCGGTTGGACTGGTAGGATCGATACGATTTTCTAAATAAAATAGAGATTTATAAATTATTTATCAATTAGTTTAAACATTTGAATTTATAAATTGTTTAAATATCTAAGTAACACATTTTATTTAAATTTGTTACAAAAAGTACTATATATATATATATATTAAAATGTTTATAAATTTAAATCTGAACAAACCACAACTGATTTAATAAAATAGCTTGATCGTTTTGATGATGGTCCAGTTCTAAAAACCTTATATTTACTGTACATTAATAAATATTATAATAAAATATTATTTAATTCACATAAATATTAATAAAATGATATATAAGTATTTATAAATCATTAAACATGTTGTCATAAAAGTATTCTTAATACGATTATTTGAAGTTTGGACTACATCACATTCACGTAATAAAATATTTTCAATATAAAATTTATATTTAGGTTCAATAATCGATTTGGTGTGGTCGAACTGATACATAACTTAGTCACCTGGGACCAACCATGTTGTGTCAAATTCTTTGACTATCTTAAATATCACCTAAATGTAATTCAATCAACCTGGGCAGTACCCTAATTCAATCACCCGATTGATCCGAAGAAATTTTCTTATTTTCTTTAAATATATTTAATTTTATGAAATAAAAATATTTTATGATTCATATAATAAATGTCTACACCAAATGATATTATATTAAGATTATAAATTATATATCTAAAGATGAATTAATTATTTTTACTTTATGCATATTAATAAAAAATAGACATAGTAACTTTAAAAAAATTAAGATTAATTGATTGATTATGCAATTTAAGAATATTTTAGCGTTCAATATATTTTTGTAAAGGCACAAATATAAAGACCGAGATTCTAAAAGTTTTGTTATATTTTGAATTGAGATTTTATAAATATAGAGACCGAGATTTTAATGTTGTTCGTTATTTCTAGGAAAAAAATAAAAATAAAAACATACACACTTAATAAATCTTAGCCGAATTTTTTAAATAATAAAATAAATTAATACCCGAAATTTAAGGTAGAATTTAATGTTGTATGATTTTTAAAGAAAAAAAAATAAGAAAAATAATAAAACTTACTATTTATAAGCTGCATTAAATTCTGACCTATTTTTTTGCTACTATTTTTGGTAAATGGTAATTCTTATTATATATATATATATATAGATAATAAATTAATTAGTTAAGATGTGGACATATTTTGGATGTTTTGAATAAATAAGCTACGTTGAATTCAAAATATGATTACTCTTAAGTGATTAGATTTTCGAGTTATCCAAAGATTATTGTTCTAAAATTATCTCTACACCATTAATTTTGAATTCAAATTGTAATTTTTCCGTGAATAATAAACTACACAATTATAATTTTCAAGCTTTCTATAAATAGAATGTCAAAGGTATTATTTATTTGGTCAAAAGTTTCCAAAAAGGATTTATCCAACAACCTTTTTATATATAGATAGATTCTCATTTTTTATTCCAAATCCATTCAAATATTTAGAACATTTTGTTTTGTTATGTTTTTACAGAGATTTAGAATTTCGATGGTACTTTTGTAAAACAATTTACAAAAACAATTACGTTAAAAAAATAACAACGATATTTTATCATTTGTACTTAAAAACTAGCTAAATGAATCGGATGACATGTAAATCATATTTTTTAAGGAAAAAAATGTTTCATAAATAAATTAATTTGTGTATATCTATATTTCATGTTGCATGGATAGTGTGTATATCTCTTTTGAATAAGGCAATCATTATTTTTTTGCTTGGATTCATAATGTATTTTTTCACGTGATAAATAAGGATATGAAAATCGTATTTTTTGTATATGTAAATGATAAGCTTGAATGTTAATCGTGTATCTTGAAAATTTGAATGCTATTTATTCAAATAACTTTTGTTACGTTTTGAATGGAACTGATCGAACTGTTGTAGTTATTTATATCACACTTTTATATCTTATTTTTATTAAAACAATTATAAAAATTAAATTGAGAATATAACATGCTCAATTCCATTGCAGTTTTAAATTTTATTTAAATAAATTGAAAATATATGTACTGTCCATAATTAGAATGAGATTTTATTTGTTTATTGAAACAATCATTATTTACTCCATTCCATACATTTTCCTCCACAATTTTAATTTATTTCTCAATCTTTCTCTCCAATATTCATATTTTACTCATTTCGAAGATGAAAGAATATGATATTATTTTTTTAAAAAGATATTTATTTCAAATCTAATTAGTATGTTGTCAATCTAATAAAAATAAATAATTATTTATCCATATTCTAAAATTACATATAAAATTAGAAAACTGTGAAGCACGACAGATACGACATTTGATGTATTAGGCATTTAATTAAGTAAAAAATTAATTTATTTTACTTAATATTAAATAATAATATTCTGCGCTTATGCATATACATATCACCATATTATTTCTATTTACTTAAGATATATATTTTTGTAATTATATAATAGTAAATAATATTGATATTTTTGTATGGTATAAGTAAAAAAAATCAATATAAGTTGACATTTTCATTTAATATACGGGTGGTTAATTATTATGATTAAAAAAAATAGTTTGACAATTTAACTAAAACCCAAAGTAATATTTTATATAAAATAAAATTATTTTAGTTTAAAAGAAGTTAAAATAAAAACTTTAATATTTTTTTACATATGCTTCCTAATTCAATACCCGTGTAATACACGGGTATTGTACTAGTGTGTTCTTTGCAACAGAATATGATGATTTAGTAGTGTTTTAGTGACATTAAGATTACCTATGAGTATGAGTTTTTTTTGGCTATCACACTTAAGGTCTATTCTCACGTGGCCCATCTTTTCATGATAAGTTATATAAAGCCATCTACGCAAACCTACGACCAGATAGTACCTTACATGTAACATATTATTACACCTTAGAATCTGTCTCATCCGTGGGTACAGCCTTGTTACCATTTTGGTAATAAATCCCCCGAATCCGGAGTTCTTTTGTGCTCATAGTTGATTTTACTGGACCTTTCAAACCCAATGATCTTTGTGAGGTATTCAGATGATTCTCAACCCAGGTGCTGCTCGTCAGCTCACTATTGATAGACGATATAGGAGAACACTTACGCTTATAAGGAGACATTGTCTCTGAACAAACATCAAAATTAAGCGGTCGAAGTCTTGGAGAGCTTAATGACCTGGCTTTTGCTTTGGCGGACTCAGTGGAGGCCATGTATGCAGGAATGATAGGTGAACCTGGGAATGAATTATCGTTCCCTATTGAATGTTGCTTCCTGTGATGACCTGATTTTGTCGGGATATATGCATGAGGATCTGGAAGTTCAGCCTGATATTGCCTTTGTAAATATCCTGAGTTTGCTGAAAAATTCCTATCTAAGTTTCCGAGAGTAGGGCTTTTAGCCAGCTGGGCATCTACCCATTGTTCTAGCCAGTATTTTCTTCTCCCATGCACCTTGTCCCTTTCGGTTTCGGCTGATCTCTGGAAAGTAAATATATATATATATTTTTTTTTTTACAATAGTTCATATTTGCAAACGTGTATACTGTAATGAACCAAAAGATTTGAAGCTCGAGAAACTGACCCGATGGTTTAAGTAGTATTCTCTAATTCTGTCTCTCTTGGTGGAAGCTTCTCTCTTGGTCAAAAAGAGGGCGTTTAGCTTGTCTTTGGTCAGTGTGCTGTCTTCCCACCTTTTTTGGCTGTTGGAATGTGCCTGCAGTTTTGTCTAGAACATTACTCCGATTATGATTCTAATGGACACATAGGAGGAGATATTATATTTTCACTAATCGACAGAGAACAGAACAAAGGAAAAATTGAAATGTGCATGACTGAGAATTTCGACTTTTGTGACTGGCTTTTTAATTTCGACAAAGTTTTTCTAGTGCATATATGCTGTAATTTGTGCCACACAACTGACTGGGAAACTCTTACATTGTCAGACCAAAGCCAGGAAAAAAAAATTAGTTAATGCAGAGAAATTGGGAGATGAAACTAAAAAAACAAAAGGAGCATGGTAAAGTAGTTCATCTAGGTGACAATTGACATATGTCCATTTAAGTTGAACTTTGTTTTGATTATTTTTTTTTTTACCATCTTCTATGGATGCCTGACTGATTATAATTTTTTTTTTTCATTTTTATAAATATAGTTACATTATATCAGAAAAAATTCATAGAACCATCTTGTTAATATCTTCCCATATAAATAATTCTATTGCAGATAGTTTTAGCAAGACACTTTTATGTCCTTTTCCGTGGAAGTATATTACAGATAGTTTTAGCAAGTCACCTTTATGTCCTTTTCCTTGAAATCCTGACACTTGTATTCTTGACAATACAAACTGCTCTTAATCCTTTCACTTCTCTTTGAGCAAACTTCTGTCTGGATGTTCACTATGGACTGCAGACACTTGAGGGTGTGAATAGCTTGCTTCCGGACAGCCCAACCGCGAATAAGAGCTTGAAGCCTGACCACTCCTTTCAGCGCCTGTAGTGCTTTTCTTGCCTTGAAACCCATAACAAATATAGCTCACAAGTTTATTGATTATTTTTATTATTAAGTATCATGACGAATTTTCCTTTACGTAAATAAATACTTTGAAAAAAAAAAAATACAAAATTTGCTAAATCATTTCGACTGAATGCGGTTTTACTTTTTAAACGAAGTATCGTGTTCAGCTCAACAATGTTTCTAAATACATGCAATTTTTTTTCTTCTTCAACATATTTTACAGTGCTTGAAGCTATCTGGGAGATATTCTCTTAAAGCAAACTCACTAGATAACGGCGAAAAGCAGCTTGAATCTTGGTAGCAGCCTGATTTTGAGACGCTACTTCGTGTTGGGGACTAATGACACAAATATTACTCTGTTCAGCTGTTTGCCATGTCAGCCTTTCTTTTGCAGGAGATGTTTCGGGCAGTGGGGACAGTTTCTTGATCTTGAGCAGTCGGAAGACCCATCTCGTTCGCTTCTCCTTCTTTTGCATCATTTGAAGAAAACCGTATGATTATTATTAGGTATGGTTTTAGTGAGGCTTTAAGAAAAGATAATTATAATTGAAAAAAAATCGTGGTCATTGTTTACCTTTTCCGGTTTCAATTGTGGTTCTGAGATGAAAAAACTTTTTATCAGACTAAACCATGTCTTCTTCTTGGCCATCTATCACAACTGCTGAGGAAAAAATAAACAAAAAAATAAAAAAGAGTTATTGTAACTAACAAAAGCTGTGCTACTATACATTTTCTGTGTGCTTGCTTAATATGAACAACTGAAAAAGAGCACAAATGAATGCATGTGGTACCGAGAAAGTTTTTCTTGGTGAATTATAATTAAAGGGCCACAAGATTGAAAAGTTTCATGGCCTTCTATCAATTGTAGCTGCTATGTTTGCTNTCTTATCTTAATAATTCAATTCACTCCGTCTTTCCTTCCATGTGTTGTTTGGCAAGTGGACCATGCTCATGAAGTGAGTGTAACAATTTAGTGCCAGTATAGTTTTTGGAGATAAATGCTATATTTGAATTATACCTCAGAAGAATCTTCTGCTTTTATGGGGGCCTATTTATTCTACTTGTTTGCCAATTTTGCTTTCTGTCAACTGTAGTCGCCCATCTTCAGAAACTGTACTATCTTTTTTCCATGAAAGATACAGGTTGAATGGTAACTGGCTATTACAATCTTACTACCTTTGATAGTATTAATAGTAGCATGTCTAGTTGGTGTCAGCTCTTTAACTTCACATTTAGCGTGTTCTACAGTATGGTGATAAATCGAAATCAACTCAATAGATCTTCCTTTTTTATATATATATATATATATATATTACAAACTGGGAATGGTAGTGGAATGGATCAGAACTCGTATAAGAACCTGATAAGTTTTTATTTGAGTCCGAGTCTAGTGCATCATATTAGAAAAATCCTAACATAGAATGATATTAAAATGAGTGTCGTAATCAACTGGTTTGTTGTGACCCTTTTCTAATTGTGATAGGATAAGCTCCATGAGAGGGGGACACACTGAATATATCAGTTACTTAAATACTACTCCTTCAATTCTGAAATATAAGGCGTGTAAGGAATTCGCACAAATATTAAGTAGACATTAATTAATGAGTAAATTGACTAAATTAACCTTACTTACTCTAATTACAACTACTCCACATTTCCTTAATTTCAACACAATGAGGGTATATTTGGAAAAAAAGGGAAGAATTTGCCTTGGTTTTTTAGTGCGCCTTATATTTCAAAAAAATTGAGAAAGTATAAAATTTCTATATTGTACTAAGATGATGTTAAATAATGGTCTCTGTAGAACCCATGTTAGGTGCCCCTTTTGCCTCAGCAGTGGAGGGACCATGAATATCAAGTAGTAAGTGTCTTCTTTAGTCCGAGATGTGGTTACGGTTAAGAGGAAGCATATAAATCCAAGTGAAAAAGAAGTCCATTATTGGAGGTGGGGAAAAAGTCCTTAATGCATTTATGAACCAGAGAATGTGGGAAATCAAACAAGGCAGCAGCATTTGGTGCTGTAAGGGAAAATTATTATTATGGAAAAGGAAAGAAAGAAAGAAAGAAAGAAAGGCAGGACAGCTGTTGAGGGCCCAAATGCATGATTTTATTCGTATGCATTTTCAAATACAAGCTATGTGACAAAGTTCGGATTTAATTTGAGTTGCCATTGGACTGTAGAAGAGAGCTTAACACTAGAATTCGTTTGCCATTCTTCAACGGAAGATGTAAGCAACTATATTTTGTAGACATCCCGCCTTCATTATTATCCTTAACCTTGATAATAAAATGCAGTCAAGGCGCTTCTACATAATTTGCCCAACGGGGTTAATGCTTAATACTGCTTAATGTGAGGTGTTTAATTTTTACAAGTTGAAGGTGTAATCTTTCGTTAAAATCTTTAAATAAATCAAGGTTTAGGCTCTTTTCATGAATGTGCGTTTGTACCTTCCATTTTCAGTATTTATTACTGATTGACTTTGTGAACATGGATGATGTTTACATTGAAATTCCTTATCAAACACCTAATTTGTACTTCTAAAAAGGGGAAAAATATGAAAAAGCAATACAGGTGGGTCATAAATTCCAAAATATTGTGAAAGCAATGTACAAATCGTAGAAATAATGCCATGTGATTGCCATTACAAGACAGATCCACTGAAGCTGCAGCCAAGTTGCAGCTTCCAGTTATTTTTTGAAATTTTGTCAGACAAAGGACTGCATTTGGTTTTAAAATTCAATAGTTAGATGTTATAATTATTCGTGATGTGTTCTGATGTAGTTTTTCGTTGCATTTGCTGACTTCTAATGCTCAAGACCTCAAATTTATTAAGGGGTATATTCATTTAAAATTACTAAAGATTTTTTAAGACTTTTAAAAGTAGATTTTAAAAAATCTTACAAAATTATGAAATTTGTTAAGATTTTCATGATTTGCTATACGAAATTTCACTCCAAATCAAACCTCTAGACTTAAGATTTCATATGATTCCTCTAAAATCAAAATCTTAAGGGGGGGCGATTGTATACAAATCAATCAAAACTCAAATTTAATTCAATTTTAACTTAACTCCACTATCTCCAATATTATCAATATAATTAAATAATATCAACCAATCATTCTTACACATCACATCAACTTTAATTCACTATTCATCTACTCACATAATTTTAACTAACTATCACTTCCAATCATTTTCTCCTATTTTTACACCAAATCAACTTTAATTATTTTACTTTAAATATTATTTTAATATATCCACTAACAACTAACCATACCACCTTTTTCCAAACTTAACTATAGTTAATAAAAACCTAGTTTTTTATTAGTTGAATTCATATCCAATCACCCCCTAAAACGTTTGCTTATATCACTCGAAATCTAGAACGAATGCACTTCCTAAAGTTTAGAATTAGGATTATGTTGAGATGCAGGAAAATAAAAGGGTGGGAAACTGAATACCATCATATTTTTTTCAGGGTAATATAAATAATACATACATGAAACTTACAAAGCAGTTCGAAAAGCAAAGTTTATGTGGTAAATAAATATCTATGTAATGGGTGCAAGATGAAAATACAGGGTAAAATAAATAATTACATTTGTTTTCGGGGTAATATAAAAAATACATACATGAAACTTACAAACAAATTCGAAAAGCAAAATTTCTGTGGTAAATAAATTTCTATGTAATGGATGCAAGATGAAAATACAGGGCAAAGTAAATAATTCCATGTTTATGAAATGCACATATCAACAAATTTCCCAATTTTACTTGTACAAAAATTTACTTGAACTGCACAGAGCATTTTTTAGTGGGAAATTGATTCAAGATAATAACATTGAAGATCTCCAACTCATAAACATTTTTTAATACTATATAACTTATTCTTCGTTTTATAGTTTTATGTAAAATGGTTATAATGAACATATACTCTTTTGATAAAAAATAAGACTACGATTATTAGTTTTAACATCTCATTCTTTCAGCGGGACTTAGCTATGTTTTCATATAATTTGCACAATTTCTAAAGAGAAGTTTCGATCAACTGCGAACCCATGGAAAATAGTCACATAAAGGAATCAGAACAAGTCAGTATGCAATAATGTAGAATTATAGTGTCAGTGTACAATTGGTTTTTCATTCCCTTTTTTGGGGATTGATTGTAATTATTTTGTTTTGCAATGAATGTAATTTAACATCTTGGAAATTTTTGCTTGATGGTGTTATCCATATCTCATGAGATACTTGACTATTGATTATCCATTGTACAAGTTTAGTTTATTCATTCCCTTTTTTGGTCACCTGTAACTGTAAATATTGGTTTTTGGGATTATTCATTAATTGTCTCATGTTTATAATGGATGCAAGATGAAAATACAGGGCAAAGTAAGTAATTCCATGTTTATAAAATGCACATATCAACAAATTTCTCAATTTTACTTGTATGAAAATTTACTTGAACTGCACAGAGAATTTTTTAGTGGGAAATTGATTCAAGATAATAACATTGAAAATCTCCAACTCATAACATTCTTTAACACTATATAACTTATTCTTCGTTTTATACTTTTATGTAAAGTGGTTATAATGAACATATACTCTTTTGATAAAAAAAAAAATAAGACTGCGATTATTAGTTTTAACATCTCATTCTTTCAGCGGAACTTAGCGATGTTTTCATATAATTTGCAGAATTTCTAAAGAGGAGCCTCGATCAACTGCGGAACCCATGGAAAATACAGAAAAGGAAATAGAACAAGTCAGTACCCAATAATGTTGAATTTTAGTGTCAGGGTACAAAGTTTGTTTTTCTATTCCCTTTTTTGGGATTGATTGTAATTAGAAAAATGATAGATAGACAACCTAATGTACAACTAGGTTGACAACACAAGTGGAAAATATTTACATGTGTATTTTTTTTTTTATTTGTGTGGATGTTCTTACTTGTGTTGTCAACCTAGTTATACACTAAGTTGGCAATGTAGCATTTTCCTTGTAATTATTTTGTTTTGCAATGAATGTCATTTAACACACATCTTGGAAATTTTTGCTTGATGGTGTTATCCATATTTCATGAGATACTTGACTATTCATTATCCATTGTACAAGTTTAGTTTATTCCTTCCTTTTTTTGATTACCTGTAATTGTAAATATCAATGTTCTCAAAACCGGACCGGTCATCGAACCGGTCAAGCTACTGGTTCAATGGTTCACTGGTCCGACCAGTGGTTGAACCGGTTGAACCGGTATTTAATTTATTAATATTTATAAATATTTTATAGTATTTTAAGTACTAAATTACCTATAAATCATCAAAATAAAAGTTTCTATATTAACTCAACCAAGAAATACAATATAATATCTCCAAATATTATTCATTTCATTAATACAAAATAAAATATATATACATGTATATATATATATATATATATATACTTATTTTAGAATTTGGAAAGGTGGTATACAGAGTCAGAAAGTCACAAGTCACAGTAAGTATACACAATCTTTCACGCTACACTTATTGAGCATTATCAAAAGCTGTGCACAAAAAAAAATTGGAAAAATTATCGAGAAAAAGAAATTCTCCCCAGCTTCAATAGCAGTTATCGAGACGAAAAATCCTAAAGCGGGCGTGCGGGATTTGATTTCGAATTTTTCAGCGAGAGGAGAATTGAGGAGAATTGGGGATTCTACTGGAAACGGTGTCGGAAGAGCACAACGGAGAACTTGAATTCGCTTTCGCGGGGAGATCTCCAGGATCTCCGGGATGCCGTCGCCGGTCTACGCCGACGAGATCTTCGTCAACGGCCAGATCTGGGCTTCTGCAACAATGAATTTTGCAGCGATTTTCACGCGGATTTTTCATAAACAAGGCAATTTATGCAAACCGTTGATCCGTTCCAACCGGTTCCGGTTTACCGGTCCAACCGGTTTTCTACCGGTTCAGACGGTTTTCTACCGGTTTTGGATGTCAACGGCTCCAGTCATCCACCCGGACCGGAATGGATGCCGGTTCCCGGTTGAACCGGTCGAACCGGCCGGTCCGGTCCGGTTTTCGTAACATTGGTAAATATTGATTTTTGGGGTTATTCATTAATTGTCTCATGTTTATAGTGGATGCAAGAGTAAATAATTTCATGTTTATAAAATGCACATATCAACAAATTTTCCAATTTTACTTGTACGAAAATTTACTTGAACTGCACAGAGCATTTCTTAGTGGGAAATTGATTCAAAATAATAACATTGAAAATCTCCAACTCATAACATTCTTTAACACTATATAACTTATTCTTCGTTTTATACTTTTATGTAAAGTGGTTATAATGAACATATACTCTTTCGATAAAAATTAAGACTGCGATTATTAGTTTTAACATCTCATTCTTTCAGCGGAACTTAGCTATGTTTTCATATAATTTGCACAATTTCTAAAGAGGAGTCTCGATCAACTGCGGAACCCATGAAAAATACAGAAAAGGAATCAGAACAAGTCAGTACCCAATAATGTTGAATTTTAGTGTCAGTGTACAATGTTTGTTTTTCCATTCCCTTTTTTGGGGTTTGATTGTAATTATTTTGTTTTGCAATGAATGTAATTTAACACACATCTTGGAAATTTTTGCTTGATGGGGTTATCCATATCTCATGAGATACTTGACTATTGATTATCCGTACAAGTTTAGTTTATTCATTCCCTTTTTTTGTTACCTGTAACTGTAAATATCCATATTTATCATTACTAGTTTGACTTCGGCTGTGCACAGCACAGCCGGCTCAAATCCACTTTTATTTATTATAACTTCATGATTATAATTATGTCTTATATTTTGTAATGATATTTCCATGTGATGTTCTATATAAGACATTATTATCATTGCAAAGTTACTCTAAGCATAGCATACCTGTCATGACTTTGTTCGTAATCAAGGTCAATTAGATCTTTCTCCCCGTCTTTTAAAATCGCGACTTGAGAAGTACTACCAATTACCTAGCAAATATACTTATATAAAGAACCATGAACAACATGTGAATACAGATTTTCAATTTTCCAGATAGAGATATCGACGGCGGGCTTCCGCCTATTCATACTGTAGGTACAACCTTGGGGCATTCGATTTTGGTATCCAGGGCTTCTCCTCTCCGCCGAAGACCACTGGCATGTGGTGGGAGAAGTAAAGAGAGGCAGTGGGAGCTGGAGGAGGGAGAGCACATGAAGGGGATTTTTATTTTTTCTGATTTATTTTTTGAATTTCTGTAGTCTCCATTTTGACTCACGTTGGAGTTTTTATTCGTGTTCATATTATTATTATACTTTGCTTTGCAAATTGACTGGAAAGCAAGAGAAATTGGTTGCCTAAACAAAAACTGCATTGTTATCTTGTTAAAAAAATATTTGATAAATTGTATTTTCTGTTATTTTCTTTTTGACCAGTGCAAGCAATGATATTCTCAAAGCAATAAATGAACAATTGAAAAAATGCATATTGTAAAAAAAGAAGCCAAAATTCTTTGTTGCAGTAACCAAGGAGAAAAATATAGCACCAAAATGAAATCACAACCTTAATTACAATTCTAAAAAATGTTAAATTGATGCCAATAAATGCTCTGCCACAAAATCAATATAATCTGCATTCTGTCCAAAAAAGATCCCTACAATGTGATCCTTCAATCTGTACATAAAAAAACATATATACACATCAGTACACCTGAAAGTAAGCATATTTTAGTTAGTAATTCGCCCCTAAAAGTTTCACGAGTTATGCTTATAGTTTTCATGTTGGCATGATTAATGCGAGAGCTTGTAAAGTAAATTCATAAAATGCAACAGAACATAATATCCTTCCTGGTAATAAATATGATAACAAATGAAGTTTTACATGTTACTTATCCACAATGATAGCAAAAACATGTTTATGAAACAAATCTACACAACAGCAAAAACATGTCATAGTAACAACTAAAATAGAGCAAGAAATGTTCCATTTTTGTTTGGTTAGTCAAGATTTACCTCAATGAGACGTGAATTGATACAAAAAGAAAAAGAAAAAAAAAAGTTCAGTTTATCTCATTTCACTTTTTTTTCTCAACAATCCAACTAACACAATTAAAAGTAATAAGTAAACATTATTTCATATTTTTCAACAAAAAACAATCACCCACTCACATCTTTATAATTACCAATCACCAGTAACAACTAAATGCAGCAGTATAGATTACTAATGCAAAGAACTTACAAGAAAGGCATATGTCAAAAAAGTTAATTCAACTCTGTTGCATAACCCATAACAGTTGAATGTCAAGAAGCACAATATGCCAACAAAGTAACTGAATCAACACGTTATCAACATACCTAAAAATCCAATGTTCGCATCCACACCAGTGAGTTTGAAGGTGAAAGCAGAGCCATGTGTCTTCTACTTAAACATAAGAATAACATTAACTAACATAGATTTATACACTTGCAAGCCATTTGTATTGACAATAACATGTATGCCAAAGACATGCAAAGAGTTGAAAAATCCCACCGAATGATGACTTTTAAGCATTTATTTAGGGTCCAAAGACGCACACAAAAAAATAGCTTTTCCATAACTCAACTATCATTCTTTTAACCCAATAAAAATTGTTGTTGATAAGGTTTAAGCAACACATATTTCACAATACATTTTCACTATGATATTGATGGGTCTACTTCTGGATCTGGAGTAAACCGGTGGTTGTGAGCTCAGATCTGTTTGAACCGTCTTTAAACCGTTGCTAGATCGCAAGAATACCTGCAAAAACTCAACGCCGGAGGTGTTTCCGGCGTAGAGCCTCCGACGCTCAAGTCAGTATGAGAGTGATGAAGGGAGGCTGCGCAGCAGCTATGGGGGAGAGTGGGAATGAATGAGAGTTAGGGTTTAGGGTTACCTCATCTCCTTTATATAGGAGCGAATACTTACGTGAAGTGTCCAAAATGCCCAAGTCGGTGGACTTAGAAGGTCCAAAATACCCCTGTCGATTCGTCTCCCCTTTGTTGCTGAGTCATCGTAAGATTCCTTCTTATCTTTGATAGTATGTGGAGCTTTGGATATATTACAAGTGTGATGAGTCGTCATCACATCTTCGCTATTCGAGGTATGCGAGGTCGACTTCGAGAGCTAGGAGGTCGACTCGGGGATATGTGTGGATTCGGAGGCTACACTTGGCTAATCATTTGTGGTGAAGTCGTCTTAGTTCAGTCGACTGTTGGAAGTCGACTTAGGATATCAGGATGCTTGGGCACAGTACTCTTGCTGTTACTCTTTCATTGATGCCGACTAGTGAAAGTCGACAGATTAAAGTCGACTTGCGAGAGTCGACTAGACCAATTCCTGCTTCTTCTTGATTGCTCTTAGTAGAATCGACCTTAGGGAAGTCGATTTGAGCATGTCGGCGGAGTCATGTCGACATGCGAGTAGTTCGAGTAGTTTGTTGGTTGAGTAAGGAGCTTCTGGACCGGATTATCCTTATACGGCTATATCATCTAGTCCCTCCCCAAAAATTACTCTAAGCAGTCGACTGCTTAAGAGTAAATTTGGTGAATTGTAATTGTGTCGCTTTCCCCTCTGCCTTGTTTGTATCGGTTTCTCTGACGACTCGTATCGTCAATCAATTAGGGCGCACTCCAATCCCATGATTGCTTTTTCGAATAAGTCTGACATTCTGACAGACCCTTTTCAAATTTCGAATTTCGAAAAACCCTAAAGCGACGCGCGTCACTTCAACCGCCGACCCTTTGGGTTCTGTGTTTCATCAGGACCGTTGGTTCTCTTGCTGATCCAACGATCGTCGCCTGTTGCTCCCTTCTATAAATGCACCTCTTTTTCTCCAAAGGTCATTTTTCGCCTTCTCGAATTTTCTGCTTTCTCCAGCTTCCTCAAACTTTCCGGCAATCTCCGTTCTTCGATTCCACCGGCGCTCTTTTCTTCCGGCAACTTCAGGCTCGTTCGCAGTTCCAACCACGCCATTATGTGTAAGTTCACTGTCTCCTAACTTCTCAATTCTCTGTTGGCTTTTTCTTTTCTTTTTTCTGATTTTCTCTGGATTCCCAGAATTTTCGAAGTTCATGCATGTTCTTCATATTTTTTTTTTGAAGATTTTCTATGATTTCTGTGTTGGATCTTGGATTGCGCATGTTTCACTTGGACTTATTGTTGTTGGCCAATTGTCGGCTGCCGATGTGCAGTCGATTTTCATCTATCACTGGGTCGACTCTCCATCGACTTAGCGATCTTCTTCTTTTAGTTTTTCCCTGTCGAGTCGACTAGGATTGATTTGTTGATCTATCTAAGCCGAGCTTATCAATAGCGTTTGTCCCCTTCTTTTTATCCTTTTATCCTCTGTCGATTCTTGAGGGTCGACTTTACTCGTTCTTGTGGACCTTAACTCGTGATTTTACTAACCTAGTCCTTTCTCCTTTCTTTTTCTTTCCTTAGCTTCCGACTCGTCTCCTCTCTCTGGCTCCCTTGGTCAACAGATCAACGACTATGTTCATCGTGTCGACGAGGGTTCTAGCTCGGATTCCGTCGAGGTGACCGGTTATAAAATGACTTCGCTGCATCCTTCTCCTTCTCGCATTTTGGCTACTTCAGTCGACTGGGAACATCATGATCAGGCGCTTTTGGAGAGCGGCCTGGTCGACACCGTGAAGAGTCCTTCTCGGGGCAATCCTCCTCGTCTCGACCTCATCCCTCGAGGTATTCCTATTAGGTTATTAGCCATCCCTGTTTATAGAACAAGCCCTATGTCTGTATCCATAATTGCTCCTCTTCTCGATTCTCAAAATACTGTATCGATAGCTTGTCCTTTAGCTAGGTTAGCCGTTTTAAATCCTTTTTGTTATGCCTCTGCAGCCGAAGTCGAGGGTTTCAGAAAGTTCAGCGGGCTTCCCTCAGACTGGGAGTTAGTCGCCCCTGGTCTTAACGACGATTTCGCTCATCCTCCTCCCGGTTGCCATACGTTTTTTATAGATCAAGTCGTCTTTGGTCTCCGCTTTCCAATCCAAGACGAGCTAATACTAATAAGTAACTTGTACAATATTCCCATAAATCAGTTTTCTCCCAACGCTATCCGTATTATGATAGCCTTTATAGTCGTCTCCCGAATAATACTCAACTTCTTCTCGCCCGAGTTTTTCTTCTATTGCTACGGTTATCGTCTTTCCAAAGGCGCCCATTGTCTGGGTCGTCGTGCCGGCGTCACTTTCCTCGATGACCTTTCGTCGAACGTGACTGAGTGGAAGTCGAAGTACGTATTCATTCGACCTGCTCCCGGCATGTATCCTTATGTGAATAAATGGATCACTTCGAAAGTTAAACAAAATAAATGGCCCCAATCCGACGAGTTCGCTACCCTACTAGCGGAGCTCAATAAGCATACGTATAGTGCTCGTCAATTGATAAAGGACCGTGAATTGGTCAATTACGCCCGAATCGTCCTTTACGAGGACCTTCCTCGCCTCGATGACCCCCGTAAGCTTTTACTTGTGTACTTGTCTGTAAACTTCGATCATTCGAATCATGACTACTAAGTGTTCTTCATTTACCAACTTTTCTTCTATTATTTCAGTTAAGGCACTTAAACGCTTCGAACTCAAGAAACAACCGGTCGAGAAGCCGGCGGGCGGCTCTGCTCCACCTCCCTTTCGTCCTGCTGGTGCGGCAGTCGAATCGACTGCTGCGAAGAAGTCCAGGGTCGATAACCCTGGTGCCACCCAAAATAAACCGTCGGGCTCTAGCTCCCGCAAGAGGGCTCAAGATGATCGGGCCGTCGTCCTGATCCCAGACGACCTGAAGCGCCGCAAGGTCGAGAAAGGGAAAGGGAAGGCGGTCGAGAAGCCTGCCAAAGCCCCCATCACCGTCCAGGACGTGACGGTCAAAATGCCGTCTCGACTCTGGAACCACCCTGAGCCTTATCAGGTGGCCCAGTACCTTAACTCTACTATCCCCGACGTCGACAAGGAGCGCGTCGAGGGGAATCTTTATGAGCGCTCGAACTACGCCGTCCTGTGTCTATCTCGGGTAATCTTCTTAACCTTAAATCCTCTTGTCGTCATACTCCTCTTGAATTTGGCTCATCTAATCCCATTTGTTTTCCATGTTCTTTCGCAGTTCCTGGCCGCAGCGCTCCCTTGCTTCGAGGAGACGAGCAAGGCTCCCCTCGCCTCTACCAAGTCCCTCGAGGACAAGTGTGAGGCTCAGCGTCATGAAATCGAGGCGCTAAAGGAGGACTTGGAGGCCTCGAGGGCCCTTGTCGACAAGCTGAAGGCCGACAAGGCCGTGTTCCGGCATTTGAATGACAAGCTTAAGGCTGACCTCGACAAGGCTCGTGACGAGGCCGTCGTCGAGAGGGAGAACGGCGTCGAGGAGGGGCGCAGGACGTTTTTGAAGTCCCCGATGGGTGCCATCTTCCTTGAAACCTATCGCCAGGAGGTCGTCAAAGCCTTTTGCAACTCTCCCGCCTTTCTCGACAAGCTCTGCCCCGCCACCCTCCAATACTTCGAGCATACTTTTTCCGCATGGGAGGCGGTGGTGTCGGGGTCCGAATTCGAGGGGAAGCTCGACCGCGAAGCGGTTAAGGAAACGCTTCCCTACCCCGAGGGCTACGAGGGCGACGACTCTCTTCCCGACGATTACCCCTGGTGGTCTGGACTCGAGGCTTGGGCCATCCGCAAGGCTGGCTTGAGCCCGCAACTCGAGGTTCCTCCCACCCCCTTGTCCGGTCCGACCGAACTAGTCGGGGCAAGTGGGGCTAGTCGGGAAGAGGCAGTCGAGGTGGAGGATGAGCAGCAGGGCACCGAGCCGCTTGCCGACAGGGATGCTGATGGGGAGAACCCCGAGAAGTCTGCTACTGTGATGATGGAAGGTGGGGACGACACTGCCGAGAAGTCGGATGCCGACTCTTGAATGTGTGTCCGATTTGGGGCTGTGCCGCTGTTTTTGCTTTGCTGTCTCTCTTTTTTTTTGTCGTTCTCGACCTATTCTCAAGTATTGTAAAGGTCGAGACGTCTGTTGGTGTAATGAATTTTCGAATTAATATAATCTCTTCTTTCCCCTTTACTGCTTTGTGTTAATTGTATTTCCGATTATCTTGCTGCTTATTCCTGTATATCTTCTCCCCAACCCTTCTTGCGAGCTGGTCGAAGTCGAGCGATAATTTGAACAGTTTCTTAACTGTGAAACGCAAGTTTTTCAGCTCGTCTTCTCCTCAACCCTTCTTGCGAGCTGGTCGAAGTCGAGCAACGATTTGAACAGCTTCGTAGCTGTGAGACGTAAGTTTTCCAACTCGTCTTCTCCCAACCCTTCTTGCGAGCTGGTCGAAGTCGAGCGATAATTTGAACAGTTTCTTAACTGTGAAACGCAAGTTTTTCAGCTCGTCTTCTCCTCAACCCTTCTTGCGAGCTGGTCGAAGTCGAGCAACGATTTGAACAGCTTCGTAGCTGTGAGACGTAAGTTTTCCAACTCGTCTTCTCCCAACCCTTCTTGCGAGCTGGTCGAAGTCGAGCGATAATTTGAACAGTTTCTTAACTGTGAAACGCAAGTTTTTCAGCTCGTCTTCTCCTCAACCCTTCTTGCGAGCTGGTCGAAGTCGAGCAACGATTTGAACAGCTTCGTAGCTGTGAGACGTAAGTTTTCCAACTCGTCTTCTCCCAACCCTTCTTGCGAGCTGGTCGAAGTCGAGCAA